TTCAGACGCTCTATAGGGGTTTTTTAGGAACGGTGCCGTATCGCCAAAATATCAGCGACAATTACGGCCTAAACAGCAATCAGAAGCTCATCTGGTGCACTGCTCTCCGGAATTGTACTCGGTACGACGAAACAATTATTTGATTTACCTATGCCAGAAAAAGCCGGTATTAGCAGCGACTATCCTCAATGGACTGCGGGAGGCAGTTCGCGAGTGTCAACGTCTGATGAAGTATCAGCGATGGGATTGTTCGATCGATCACCCAATCTTATCAGTCGATTACACGTTGCTGCATGAACCAATGATCGTCAAGCACGGTAAGCGAATCCGGCCCATTCGTTTTCTTCAAACAACTGAGCATGACTTCAAAATCATACCAAAATTTAATTTTTGCTTTATTCGTTTGACGAAAGGGGTAGTTTTTCGTTGATTCGGTTCACTTTCGGCACTGTTGAAGGGTGTTCTGGGGAAACACTGAATCATATTGTAATACTCACTGTCTGAGAAAATCCTTTTCATATGACAACTGCTGAGACGATCTTCTCATTCTTCTCAATCTTTCAGTAATTCACCATCGAAGATCAAGTTAAAATGGACGAACAAATTCTGACGTCACAAATTTTGGTAAAAGTTTCATGACCCTGAAACCCTTGCTTACGAACTGTCCATCTACCGTTCAAAATTTGCAGGCAAAATAGGATTTGGCTATTTACGACAGATGGTCTGATGCGCTTCATTGCACTTTTCACTAGAAGCCCGATGCTTGATCACCGATATCTTCTTATTGCATGCAAATCATCTAAGCTGGAGACACGGTCCACAAGTTTTTCCCTCGTTTCATTTTCAGGAACGGTGCATAGTACCGTTTTAGATGATAAGGTTCGTGTTCCTGATCCACCTGCTTAGCCTCTGTAATTATATCTGAAGCATTTGTCACCGTGTGAAATGCTCAATTATTAACATGGGTTGAGTTTTTGTGTGATCGTCGTGTAGAAATGTATAAGCGACTGTTAAATTCTTTGCAGGATTTAAATAACGATTGCGGAGTTGAAGTTTTTGTCCGTATCGTTAAGGCATGCAATTTTAGTCTAAACTGGGCTGAGATACTGAGCAAGTACATAAAGTTATACAAAGGGTTCCCTGCTTAAGTGTACAGCTTAGGACGAGGTAATCAAGCACGGGCAAAAGTGACGATTTAGTATGTATCTAGCTAAACACGATTTAAGAAAACTTAATTTGGCACTTTACACAGATAAATACAGTATTGATTCATGAAGCGTTTTAAATGTCAGGAAAGCAGGAAAGTTGAATATAGATATATAGAATCTTTAACTTCTAGTGACTTCATTAAACCTATTGATGTTCAGATTTATTTTTTCAGGTACTGTGCAAACTACATTCAAATTGCTGCTTCTAAGCCATGCTGAGAGTCTTTTGACTTTCTGTTAGCATAAGTCTCATCGTCGAGTTTTCCGGTTTGCTGAAGACATCAATTTTTTTATCGCTATGGACATTCCTTTGGGAAGCATTATTTAAATTTCTTTACTCTGCCTTAAGAATCAATACAGCTTTGTTGGAACCAGTCACCCGTTTGACTTAAAATCATTTCCATTATCAACGATTGGCCTCATTTGAAGCAGCGGCAACTTTGATAAATTCAGAAATTTATATAGATTTTATTCAAAATTTAGGTGCTAATGATTGTTTCAGCCTGAGAAACTTTTCCAGTTCTCCCTACCAATTCAACGAGTCTATTGAACGAGTAGTTGTTTTGAACTCCATTTGGTGTGCCAGCCTTTGCGAACTACTGTCGGTGAATCCCAAATCATTGTCTAGCTCAAAGAATTCAGAGAACCGAGACACTTCTTAGGTTATGGTCGCTGAATGATGTACATCACGCGAATGGCCTGCAACACTGCTAATGCTGTTAAGTTTTTCTCGTTTGTTGCAGTACTGAACTTCTCACGGAGCACCTCTTCAGCTGGTTGTCAAGTGATTCACTGGTCAAATTTCTTACACATTTGAATTTTGCGTTTATCATAGCTGTACAACCCTCCTCATCTGGAAAAGGGCTTTTTTCAATCTCTTGTTGATCAGCTTCTATTCGATGTCAAGCATACTCAAGGCAGTAGTTTTATGCTGACATTTTTGAACTCGCAAATCAGCGAATACTTCAAGATGAAACTCCATCGCAAAGTTGCTATCATTAAAGTACATGCAAATTTAGATATTGGGTTTTTTGTGTAAGTGTGTCTATCTTGAGGTTTTTGCTTCGATCCGCTTGCATTAATGAAACGTTTGGCTTGCGATGCCTCGGATATTCAGAGCATTACGGTACTTCTTCCACACGACACTGCCGCTTTGCAAATAGAATAATTCCTCTCTGAGGGCAGATCTCTTTCTGCCTTGCTCATCTATCTTGCATGCTGACTTCCTGAGGCTGCAATGTGGGAAGCCCGCGGGCTGCAGTAAATCGTTTATGCATAGTTACTTCTTCAAAGAGGTTCAACCTTATTTCTTGGGATCATCGCCTTCGGCAGATGCTTGTGCTTGAAATTGGATATGGTCACGCCATTCAATGCTCACTATGCGTCGAAGCCAACACTGTTGTCAGCGTTCAACCGCTGCACCTGGCCGTTCGTTAGAACAGCTGTTTCCTTGCCGTTCAGTAATGCTGAACTGACTAAGCAAAGCACTGACAGATTTTTATGGACAAGAATATCCATTTTTCAGTCAAATATTTATTTGGTCATTAAAAAACCAGAGACGAGGGCCAGCCTCCTATCTTACTCTGAATGGTTGCTGTAAAAGATTGAGCCGAGACACTTAAACTGGCTTAAATTCTTTATGGCTTTTAATTTCTGTTCCATTAATGGTTGGATCCGAATAACCTTTGGCTTCTGGGCGTTATGAACAGGCTGTGTTCCGAATTCACTTTCTTTCCTACTCACCTGTAAAATACCATCTGCATATCCCAGGTCAGCAAAATATCCTGCCGGATATCCGGAACTCCACCTTCCCTCTGGAGTCAGACCTTCTTCTTTGCTGGGATCAGCATTGCTTCTGTGAAAAGAGTCGAGATCCGTTTTAAGCGACAGTTATGTGTATGCAGTTTTTATAAAACAATTTCACGTGTGTCTTTGAGGTGCGCAGTATGGGTTCGCCTGCAATCAATGCACGAATGGTGCCGGTCATTTTCCGCACCTGCAGTGATAATCGTAAGATGTAATATTAACTTCGCCGTGGCAGACAATCGACGCAGTGGCCAAGGGTGCTTGAATAACTCTCTCAGAAATTGCAAGACCGGCGACTGACTCGGTTATGTAACAGGAACAGAAGCTGTTTCGTA